TGTTTGAGGTTTTGATTGTTTTGGATTATACTAAGCCTGGAGAAGCCTTGGTGATTCCTTATTCCGCATTAACAGCGTCTTCAGAATTGTTGCCCCAAAATTTTTAATTATTCAAAGAAGCAACAAGCTTTTAGAATGACATTTTGAATTTTCTAATTTAAATTAGTATACAAAGGAATCAACGATTTGTTAATTATCAAATTTCTTAGGCTTTCACTCAACCAAAGAGATGTATAGACGCAACTTGAGTATCGCTATATCAGCACATTGCATCTCCAACTCCATCCGACTCTATTAGTTCTCGGGTTAGCAAACTTGAAAAGGATTGCTGCGTATGAGAAAGAAAAAAAGAATTATGGATAAAGAATTAAGTCCTTGCCACGCATTCTAAATTCTGTACAAAAGCATGCCAAATTAATAATGCAAGTTGTTAACAAGAAAGTGATTTTTTAGACATTGTGTATTGCAGTCTGTGTCATCAATTGCAATCAAACAATTTCAGTCTCAGAATTTTTGCAGTGGATATATATAAAAAGATTACATCTCGGATCACGCGTACCATTCTTCAATCGATTTCATTCATATTTTTCACGGATGAATTAAATGATTTGACAGAAAACACACAGCTTGATTCAGAAATATTGTCTTATTGTAAGAAAAGATTGAGCCATGTTTGGTACACATTCTTTCAAAACTCACTTTCTACTATATATTTTTCAATAAAATAATATCTTTCATTACATCAATGACTTTTTCTTACTTTTTAACCATATATTTCTCATCACATCACTATTTAAAATACATTATTTCCTCAATAATATGCATCAAACACACCCTGAATTCACACACATCAGAGCAAATGGGTCCAAAAGGTTGTAAAAGTTAGGCAGACTTTAGGATTATGTGCTGTTGTATAATTCCTTCATCAAGGTTCCAAGTCCATCACATTGATCCAGTTAAAATGACTCAATGGTAAATATGGTTGAAGGAAAATAATTAGGAATTTTAGTTAAACCCTAAACTACAAAGGAAACCTTGCACATTGTCTTCCCTTGTGCCGGAAGAAAAAGGAAAAGAAAACGGAGTTCCTTTAGGACTTGTAGTTGATGCTTTACAATTACTAATGAATTGAGAAGAAAACTAGTGCGTGCAAGAAGCCAAATTCAAGTCCAAGAAGAGAAAATACCGACAGCAACAATATGGAAATTTGTGCTGTTAGGGTCCGCCTTCGTTATCATCCATCAAATATTGATATCTCAATGATCCATAGTTCTACCCTCACGACATTTTGATAAAGTGTTTCAAAACTCAACGTTCTTCAAATACAGCGGTCAACATCAAGATTTAATGATTAAGTCGGGAGAAAGCACTAGCTAATCAGTAGCAAATTTTGGTCAGATCCCTTTATTGGTTTTTGTGTAGTTTTTTGAGATATTCATAATTGAATAGTTGTTACTGTTGCTTGATGCTTTTGAGAGATTTCGTCTTTGATTGACCTATATTTTTAGGTATGAGAATTGTTGAATTCCTGATCTAGAGAGATTGTTGTATATTGTTGATTATAGTGGAAGGTTGTGTGGAGTTGGGGTGGTGGACGAAGACAAATTGCCTAACCATGTTAAATATTATGTTATTTATTACGCGCATTATTTATGTGGTTTTGTTTATTTGATCGTCTCCTAATATGTTTGTACAAGAAATGTAAAATTATTTATTTCTGCCGCATTATTGCTAGATATCGTATTAGATATTGACCTAATTTCTCCGAAAATGTAGTGGTTCAAATTTGCAGATGCTGTCTTATGCTATTTTTAGTGACACGTTTGGTACATTAGGTTGGAAAAAATATATAAATTAGAGGATGGATAAATTAATTTTTTTTTTTGCGTACGTACTTTTTTCATTATTCATGTCAATTATAATTAGTTTATTCCAATATATCAAATACTGAAATTATAAAACTACAAAAGAGAAAACATTAATTTTTTTCTAATTCAAAGAAATGATAAGAATATAATGTTTCATAATGAAATATAAATCATCAAAACTATCGAATTAAATTCCACTCAAGTCAAGGTTCAAATATTGTGTAGTTTATTTCGTATCATTCGTAACTCAACCCAAAATAGATAGCGATGGAGAATCCCATTTTCGTGTTCAGAATTAAACAATCTCTACACATAAGACATGGTAATTATTCTAACGGGACGAACAACAAAACTCTAAACAGATTATGTATTGACGTAATTTTTCGTTGTTGTTCTCACTTCTTGAAGTGCACTCTACCAAATATGTGATAGGGATATATGGTTAATTTTTCCTAAAACAAATTATTTTTCTCTTTTTTTTTTTCTTTTTCTTTTTCGGAAAGTATATGCGTGCTACTTATTGTTTACTCTATTGATAAGATTTCCACGTTTCCGGTCAAGTGACAATTGGCGGTGTGAGTGATGGCGATCTATACTAATGATACTGAAAGTGAAAGCACATATCTTTAATACAATCCTTTTTCTTCTTTTTGGGATTGTGCAGAATAAAATATATACACTTTATTCCTATTGCATGAACCAAATTATTCCACAAAGGTCAATTCTATACGTTGTACTGGATAATGACACAACCATTTGCTCTAGGACGAATCCAGAATCGAATTACAGGTCGGGCTAATACGTAAAAAAAAAAAACAGTGGGTGGAGTTGGGCCGGGCAGGGCCCCTCCATCCGTCCCTGATTTGCTCCATCCTAAAAAACTGAATAAAAACTAGGTTATAAGTAACTCGATATCAATTTGATGCGTTCTTTCTTAAAAGATTTGCCTTATCATCCTTATATTTTTTTTCCTTAATGTGAATTTTGGAATTCAATTGTCGCTCATTTGAGTTTCTAGACATGCAATGGACCGCGTGAGCTTTTTAGACTCGTGAGTTTTGAGATTCCATCTTAAAAATCCGGCCCTTTTAAGAAGAATAAAACAAGTCCTTAGATTTTGATTATTGTCTTTATATTTAAAAGATGTAAGATTTCACTTGGACGCTAAGAAAATCCTATAATTTTAGCCTGCAAACCAATTAGTTATGGGAATGAAACAATGCTTATGTTTCTTGCCAAGAAGTTTTGAGTTTAGATAAAGGAGAATTTTGTATTCGTATAGTTTAAAATTTTATCACATTTAATAAAGTGAAAATTAATTTGCATTTTCATACTGGCATAGATGTGTACGTATGAACTACAGAACGTCCCAAAAAAAATAATTAAAATAATAATTCTTTAGAATAATAACTTTTTACAAGGGTTCATCCCCTTTCTTTGCGATGTAAACCATACATCAAAAAGCGGTTGTTTTTTGTGGAAATGGGACTCTTTGAACGACCATTCGACAATTTCAAGAAAAAGTACCTTGTAGACTATAGTTCACAATTTTGAATCCTCTGTGCCCTACGTTGTGTCAAAATCATTTTGTACGTTTTTATCTTATTCAATAACCAACATGTTATAACCTCTATGTCATGTTTTTGTTACTAAATTTGTACCATGGGACATACCTTCTGTGTTACCCAGCCCCTCTTCCATATATGGTAAATAGAAGACCAATCAGGTTCTAATATCTCGTCCCTCTTCACTTATGATTTTAGGGTTATCTTAACTATTCAAATGTACGATTAATGTTTAAGGTTACTACAATGCCATGTCTTTGTGCACGATTAAATACTTTCTAAATGATACTATTTATGCATATTTGGTTCGTCCAATTAATTGTATAGAATTGAACACAAGTTTTTTTTCCTTAATCCTCTCTAACTATAAGAACATTAATGTAGCTGGCCTCATCAGTAACGTGTAGAAAATTAATCAGAAATATTAACAAGCGAGTAAAAAATTCACTATATTGCTTTTGAGTTTTTTTATTGAAACAACTGATGTGTGCGAAAATATTTTGATGGAAACTTACAATTTATCATTTTTTGAGTTTGATGGGGAAACTTTTTTCACATTTCTATTGACACGATAGGCGAGATGGTTCAATTTGTCATCCATATGGAAATATTTTATGTATGTGTCAAGCTTTTGATAAAAATGCATCCCGTTTGCACGTGTTATAGACTTTTAAAGGTGATGATTCAATGGATCTACCACGATCTAATCGTAAAAGTGGAATTATATAATAAGGGACTATGATCTTATACATGTAAATTGATTAAGATGCTTTGGGAAAATATTTGGTTATGCTAAAAAAATTATACATTAGCCTGTGGATCAAAGCTTGTAGGTGATATTAGCCTTTTAAAGCCTAACTTAGTTTAGAGTTTGGATTAGATTCATAGGAGGGCAACTGAATGAGGAATCTTGGTCGTTTTGTGTGGATGAAAGCGCATGACATTTTAGGTGACACATGACTAGAAAAATATATATATATGGCAATTAAAAACATAATTAATGCTGTTAAAGAATCACCATCAAACTTCAATGAGAGTGGGTGAGCAGTAAATTTGCAGGCCCTCCAAGAAACAAAAGAACCCACCAAAATAAAAAAACTTAACCTAATCTTCCAATTAACTAAACCTTTTTCTTAGCCTGTATAACTTAAAGCTAGCTTCTTGAAGACTTTTAATAAGTTTTCAGCTCGGGAATTCCATCTTTTTCTCCTGAAATCTGTCTTCATTTTTAGTTATCTTGGATCTCTAACCAGGTGTACATCTTCATAATTCTTAAAACTATTTTTATATCTAAATTTATCTTTACTTTTCAGCTTTGTTTTCTGAATGGTAGCTTTCCTTGGACAGTAGGATCTGAAAAATAAACCAGCAGGGTTTTTTGGGATTACCACCACCACCACCAGCAGTTTGATTAAAATCGGTGTGTCTATATATACATACATCTATATATATATATAGAGAGCGAGCGAGCGAGCGAGCTAGCTGGGCTGGTCTTTAATCTGGATAGTAAGTGGAATCAAGAAAAGGAACAAAATCCACCACTGGACATGCAAATATGGAACCAAAAATGGGAACGAAGGGCAAAGGAATAGAGGGAGACATAGTACAAGTTCAAGGCCATCACATTCTTCGGTCAACTAGCCAGAAGGACCGGCACAGCAAGGTCTACACCGCGAAAGGCCCGAGAGATAGAAGAGTTAGGCTTTCTGCTCATACCGCAATCCAATTTTACGATGTCCAGGACAGGTTAGGCTACGACAGGCCTAGCAAGGCAGTCGATTGGCTAATTGAAAAGGCGAAAGACGCCATTGATAAGCTAGATGGGCTACCCCCTTTGCACCCGAACGATACTTCAATCGCTCAAAATTCAGAATCTAATCCTAGTTCGAGTGGGACAAAAGTTAAAATTCAACCAGAATCTTCGTTTATTCAGCCCGAATCTGACACAGAATTCATGAACACGATGAAATCTTTCTTCCCAACAGGTTCCAGTGCAGCTTCTTTGATGAATTTTCAGAATTTTCCACATGATATGATGTCCAGAGCCTCATTCCAGGCTGAAGACCTTGGTCTTTCACTTCACACTTTGCAAGACCAAAATCCGAGGCCTTCGACTAATCCAGGCCTGCCTGGTTCGACATTTCAGGACAATTATCAAAGAATGGATAATTGGAGTGCCAATGGAAGTGTCGAAAATAGGGTTGGATTTCATATTGACTCACACACAATGCCCCAAGTCCAACAAGCATTTATCTCTCAGGACTTGCCATTTTCTAATAGGGAACTCCTTCAATCCAATTACTCAAACTTTACTCGACAGCATCAACAGCCAAGTGTTCACCAATCTTCGGATTCTGGTAGCCATTTTGCGTTTGGTTTTCAAGTTCCAGCTCGAATTCATGGAGACGACGAGCCAGAAACTCAGAATTAAAAGAAGACAAATTCATTTCCATCATCAGGTACTAGAATAAAACCCTTATTCTATTCCAGTTAATTCTTTGTGTTGACTTTTTTGTTCCCTTTTAAATATCTTCAATTTGCATACTTCGATAATTTTCCAGGAGATCCCAGCCTTGAAGATTTTTCAGCAACTCAATAGCAAGAGTGGAAAAGTTCATATGGCTCAATATTTTGTGCTTATTTTGTTATCATGTCCTCCATTTACAATTTTGCCTCTCAAATTTCAATATTTAATTTTCTGTACTAAGAACCAGGATTGAGTTCAGCTTGCATTTGCTTTTTTTTTTCCAGGTATTTTGTATGTGGTATAATTAACTTCAAAAATTGATTAGTTTCAATTAATCTAATTTTTCTTAACCAACAATTGCTTGGGTATAGATTCATAAGTTGGATTAATTGTTTTTATTGTTTCAAAAATTAGTTTAAACATTCTAATGTGTAAGATCATATAAAGGGGGAAAATGGAGAATAAACATGTAGCTATTTTCCAATTGAACTAAAAACCCTTGTAAACTCAAGTAACATATTATTACAAAGTCTTCGCGGTTGAGTTTAAATGTTTAAATTGAGCAATGGTCTAATGTTTGCCCACAAGCTTGGACTCAAGGCCTATGTAGCCAAAATCAATTCACTCTGGGTGGTTTAAACCTATTTTGAGTGATACTGTAAATTTGTAATCCTTTTATAGAGCTTGAATTGGGAACTAAGGTATCCGGTGAGTTTTCGTCCTTTGGGACTATGGTTTTTAGATTTGGTAGGATGGTAGAAACATGTGGCTCTTTCCATTGTCCAAGCAAGATTGGTTGGATTAGCTCATTTTTCTGTAAGTTATATATTCACTTATCCAGCTTTCTTGATTACCTCTACATCAAGCAAATTTGGTTGATTTTATTCCCCCCCTCTCTCTCTCTCTTGCCCAAAGTCTGGCTATTTGAATAAATAAAATTTGTTTAATTGTGCTTTAAAAAAGGAGAAATTGTTAGTAACTTCACTAGCAAGAGTAACTCTTATGGGTTGTGTGTTTAATGCTAAGATAAAATGAACAAATTTAATATATGGCATTAAAAACTGGTGTAGAATTGGTCAAAAGGATCATGCCTTAAACATCATGGGCCAAGACATGAATATCGACTTAAACTTCATGGGCAACTTTACCCCATTGGGTAGGTAGAGCTTCTATAAATTTTATATTCAGTCATTCGGACCACTTAAAAGAGAGTCAGAGCGCAACCAAAAACCTTTTTCATCTTTGTTATAAATATTAAAGATCAGAATTTTTTGAAAGGATATTCCATAATAAAGGTGCGAGTACTGCTAAACAATAAAGAAAAGTCTAAGCGATGGGGTCATGAAATTAGTGTAATTAATTAATTATTGGTATTTGGTAATGACAATCGCCAAATTACCTATTTTATATTAAAATTTAATAGTTATATATTTTGGGGGTTAAGATTATAATTTTTCAGTCTAATTTTTGGCAAAAGTTCAAAATTTTTTTTTTATTATTTAAAATCCGCCGTTAAAGTCTCAAAACCTAAATCAAACGGTTTGAGAAAGGGTTAGCTTATTTTTAAACCGTTTCGCTAACAAATGCACGTGACACCAAATCGATGATTTCGAAAAAGCAATTTCTATTTGATTTTTCGATTTCGCGATTCTTACTTACATCGCTAGTTGAAATGTTATATATGACCTATACATTGAATGTTTACTATTCTTTCATGTTTAATAGAGTTTATATAATATTACTTTAAAATTATGGAAAACAAATGAAAGTTGTCTACAAATGGACGGGATCATCATTCCATAGAGGTGGTCGAAATTTTTATATATATGGTCAAATGATACAAATGACATACACGAGTCGACCTATAAATTTATGATGTCTATCAAGACTATATTTACTTGTCTTAAGTTACGTAGAAGTGTTTTAAATTACTGCTACTTCCTACTTATTACAATTTTTGTACCATTCATTTTCAAATATGTTTAGTAGCACGTAACAAACACATTTTAATTTCGAACACTTGACTTGTCTTTTCAAAATTTCAAGTGGGATATCGATACAGTAGTGTTTGATATGTTTTAGAAATGTTTATCTTTGTCCATTTTCTTGGAAAGATTTATACAAAAGAATAATTTTGAAAAGAATTTGATTTATACATACATTTTTTGGTAAAGATCCATTCAGGAGTAGACAAAGGTTTTAACGCCAACTTGTCTACCTAGAATGGGAGTTTAGCATTACCCCTATCCTAGTATATTGATGCAAAAAATTTACACAGAGGGAAATAGAACTTTCCTCTTGGGAATTTAAAAAAAAAAAAACAAGAGTTCAGCAACAAAAAAAGAAAAAATGGAAAAAGCCTATGGCAGGTACAAATATATATCAGCACCTGTTACGTATTAGGAATCCATTTCAGTGGAAATGTTTGTGAATTATGGCTATTAGGTACAAAAAAATTTCTTGATTGAATGCCATGCAACATTGGTTGTTTTCTCAATCTTGGTCCAAGTGTTGCCATATTTCGTTTGGGGCTTTATGCAAGGTGGGATGAAATAGTAAGATCTTCTCAGATGTCCATAGGGAGGTAGGCCATCCAGAACTTCATGTCCACTCCTTTCCTCCAGATGTTTTTGCATGAACGTTTTAAGGACCATAGTCTAGCTGAAGTAAACAATCACAAGTTTGATTGAATAGTATTACATTATTGTTATTTAGGTTCTCTCCTTGGAATGTCCAATTTAAACACCTCACACAAGTAAATGTTATATCCTCGACTTTCTGTAATTGTTTATGCACGCGATTATAAATGTTATATCCTCGACTTTCTGTAATTGTTTATGCACGCGATTAACACTTATATATACATCAGTTCAAGTTTAGTTATGTCCAGAGATACGAGGTGGCTAATACCTTGGATCATATATTTATTTAGGGTCTGTTTGATTGCAAATGTGGAAAATAGGTGGAAAGAAAATGAATTCTAGAGAATTGAATTGCCTATAAATTGTTTTACTGGGAATTGTAATTCATTGTCTTTGTTTTGTATAATTTTCCATGTGGAAAATGTTGAAAGTTTGGTATTCGTTTGACTTTATTTTTCATGAAAATTGTCCATTAAAATAATAATTTCTTTTACCATTGGGCCTAGAATTTATTTTACTTGCCCAAAAAAAATTAAAAAAATCAAATATTATTTGTTTAGCTTTGTTTTACATAGAAATTGTCAATAAAAGTGACAATTTTTTTTTACCATTGTGTCTATAATTTTTTCCAATTGCCAAAAAAAAAAAAAAAAAAAAAAAAAAAAAAAAATTTAACAAAAAAAAAAAAAGAAAAACAANCCATTAAACCGAAACTTCCATTGATGAAAAATAAAAACCCACCTAAAAGGTGAGAAATCAATTTCAATAAAATCAAGGAAAATGTGCACGTGTGAGAAAAAGTGAGAGAAAATGGAATTTTTCCTTTCAAACATTACAAAAGTTGGAAAATAAAAATTTTTCCATGGAAAATGTTGTGTATCAAACGTGGCCTTATAGTTTCTGAGGTCGAATGGATAAATTCAAAAATCAAGATTCTTTTTTCCGGTAAAACTATACAACTCCACTTAACTATAGTTCAATACTACTGTAGCAAAGCATACAATTGTTGATCACTTGAGTTGAATCCCAAGAAAAAAATGCATTTTTAAGAATACTAGTGAGAAGCATGTGCAAGGCACGTGACATGATATAGTTGACTACGTAATAGGGTATGTATAAAGAAAATATTTATGTCAAGCATTAGTTACATAAAATTTTCTGCTAAACGTTTGGAGGCAACATTGGAAAACGTGGTTCATATGAACAGTAAAAGAAGGCCCACTCGTAAAAAAATGAAAATGCATGTACTGTTCAAATAAAAACCAAAGTGAAAAACAAATCCACTCTTAAAAAAGAAAAAATAAATAAAATCTCATCTCTCCTTACAGCAATGAGAAATTCTCTCCGTGCTGCAAGGAGAGATTCTATTTTTTCTCCGTGCTGCAAGAAGAGATTCTATTTTTTCTCCTTGTTGCAAGGAGATAATCTCTCTATTCTGAGAATTCATGCCACGTTTTTTTTTTACTTAGCCTTATTCTTATATTTTTTTAATTCAACCAATGTAAACATGCAAAAATCGAAACAATTACGTCTGGAATTGAACAAAATTCTCTATTTAAATACTATTAAAACAAAATTTAAATTTAAAAACGTCAATTTTATCTAGTGACAAAGTTGGTCAGATCTCGATCATTTTCATTTCCAAATGTATTGAAAAATTAGACTCACCAAGGTGGAATTGATGGCCGCATTGGATCTTTGCCAAGGATCTAGCCCCATTATCAGTTACCCCATCCAAGCAAAATGAGCACGAAACAACCGTTGATGCCATCTTGCCCCCCCACCTCTATCACCATCATCTATAAGATCCGCATCACCCAATCCCATAATTCAATCACCAATTTCCAAAACCCTACCTTAATTCGAATCTTTTAGATAAAATTTCGAATAATTAGAAGTGGAGTGAATGAATAATTAAGTGAATTTAAGGGAAACACATAACTTATATAAATAGAGAGAGAGAGAGAGAGAGAGAAGAGAGAGAGGATATGGAAAAACTATGAACCACTTTCATTGAATTTCTATTATTTCTCCCTCTACTCACTGCCTGCCTGGTAGCTTGAAAAAAATAGTTTATATTTCTCTGTTCAGAACTGAGAGATGCACTCCGTTCTGAATGGAGAGAATCTTGGAAAAAGGATGACTATCTCAAAATAGTTGTCTATAAGGTCCGTGCTTAACGGACCTCGTGGTCCGTTTCAAGTAAGTGCAGAGAACAGCTTTTGTTTTCTTTGCAACCAGTTTCTCCTTGAACCTCACCTAGTGTAATGTAGTAACATCTCCGTTTTCCAATAAATAAATAGAGAAATATACACATGGAATTCAAGACTGAGAAACTACCTTATAAGGACCTTTATGCTAGCTTCAAAATGCAAATGAGAAGATTTCTTTCTTGAACAACAATTGAAAATTTGAAACCAGAAAATACAAAAAAAAGATGGAGTAAATAAAGAGGCATTGGAGGTAGAGTGTATAAATAGAGAAGAAAGAGATGCTTTGCTTGGAGTAAATAATGAGGTATGGGAGGAAGCGTGTACAAATGGAGAAGAGAGATGTTTTACTCGGCTAACGCGGCTCACTCAACTCGACTAGGCTTAGGTGGCCAATCGGC